AGAATTAAAGAACTAATGCAAAGTCTAGTCTGAACATGCAATTGCCTTAATTCTACTACTTCTAACTTGATCGAGGGAGGGGCTATATTGAGATCATTCTGTACTCTAGTTTTCATGTCACTAATATACTAGCAACAACTTTTAAAAACCATTTTATACTACAAATTAAGATCTTTAACCCATCATTCCTTGAAAATCAAGAATTGTTATAAATACCCATCAGAATTTTCCCAAAGTTCACTAAAATAGCACAAAAAAAAACATGTGTCTTGTGCTTTATTAGTATTACCAAAAGAATTGATGGGAGTTTTTTGGTAAGGATAATTTTATGCTATTTAAATAACTTTTTAAATAGGGCAGACCTTTATGCAGACCAAGTAAAACCAATTTCATCATTTCAAGTGCATAAACATATTAAACATCTCAACTATTGATTTTCTTTCATAAAAAAAACCTATTGTCTAAAGTATCAAACGATGTTTGCTTGTTTGCTGGATTGCTGTAAAAGGAAAACAACTGATAAACTTTTACTTACAGGATTGTACTGAAGAGCAGAGACGTAAGCTTGTACTGCTCCTTCCATGTCACCTGCTGCTAACTGCTGTGCCCTCTGCTGGACCCCCTGTTGTCTTAGTATAAAGCTGCTAGACACCCTCATGGGCTTGGGTGATGGCAGTGAATAAGTCTAGGGACACTTTGGGGCTACTAGACATCAATAAGCCATAACTCCTGAGTCCCAGCAGCTCCGGCCAGCAGGGAAAGTGCAGTAAAAATGAACAAATGCCAATAAATCTATGCTACAAAGCAAAGGGGTGGCACACGCTGAGTCCATGACTGAGCTTAGTGGCAAGAGCTGTCTGGGGTGGCTTCCTGGAGGTTCAAGGGGCAAGTGGCATCTCCAGGGGTAAGAAACTGAAGGAGTGTTTTATTTCTAGGCAGAAGAGAGGGCAGCAGCAGAGGCAGAGAGGCTGAAAACAGCAATGCTTTGGGGAGTTGATAAGTGGTTTAGCTTCGCCAGATGTGGTGGTACAGAACAGTGTTTGGGAGTCAGAAGCAGGTGGATCTCCATAAATTCAAGGCCAGCCTGGTCTATAGAGAAAGTTCCAGGCAAGCCAGAGCTACACAGGACTGATGGTGATGAGGCTGTAGGATAGCCTGGGATAAGGCAATGGGATCATAGGCCAGTCAGAGAACCTTGTATTGCTTATTTGGGTAATACCGGATCTTACTGGGGAGAAATAGGCTTGGGAAAAAGGTGGGGAAAATGGCGCTGAGGAGATGGTTCTGTTGGGAAGAATGCTTGCCGAGCAAACACGAAGACCCAAGTTCAGACCACCAACACCTTTGAAAAAGCTGGGCATGACCAAGTGTGCCTGTAACCTCAACACTGTGGGGTAGGTTGGCTGCCTGCCAGCTTGGAGTTGGGGGAAGATATGAGCTCCGGGTTCATGAAGAAATACGGTGGAGAGCAATAGAGCACACCCAATATGCTCCTCTGACCTTCACATACGTGTACACATGTACACACACACACACACCAGCAACAGAGCCTGATGGTTTGCGAGCAGTAGTTAGCACATAGCCACCGAGAAGAAATGGTCAACAGGAGCATTTTCCATGTCTAAAGCGAAGTGGAAAAAATAACCAGAGCAATGGATAAGGAAAATGTGGTACATTTACACAGTGGAGTACTACACAACAGAAAAAAATAATGACAGCTTGAAATTTGCAGGCAAATGGATGTATCTAGAAACATCATATTGATGGGTGGGGGTGGTGCATGCCTTTAATCTCAGCACTTGGGAGGCAGAGGCAGGCGGATCTCTGTGAGTTCGAGACCAGCCTGGTCTACAAGAGCTAGTTCCAGGACAGGAACCAAAAAAGCTACAGAGAAACCCTGTCTCGAAAATCAAAAAAAAAAAAAAGAAAGAAAGAAAGAAAGAAAGAAACATCATATTGAACGAGGTAACCCAGACCCAGAAAGACAAATATCATATTACTCATAGGTGGTTTTTAAACATAAAGCAAAGAAAACCAGCCCACAAACCACAATCCCAGAGAACCTAGACAACAATGAGGGCCCCAAGAAAGACTTACATAGATCTAATCTACATGGGAAGTAGAAAAAGACAAGCTCTCCTGAGTAAATTGGGAGCATGGGGACCATGGGAGAGGGTTGAGGGGGAGGTGAGAAGAGGGAGGGAGGGGAGCAGAGAAAAATGTATAGCTCAATAAAAACAATTGAAAAAAATAACCAGAGCTTTCCAGAATGGCAGGTGACAGGGCTACCCACTGCACATCAGTCCTCCCAGGCAAGTCACAGATGTGCCATGACCCTCTGTGACAGGCTGGACTTTGTTTGAAGCTGCAGATATGCTAGAGCCCAGGAGAAAAGGAATGGAAGCAGTTAGCTGGGGAAGTTTGCCCTACGCTATATATGCCTACAGTCACATCTAGTCTCGGTGCTCCAAAGACTACTCCATCCTTCTACAAAATGAAAAGCAAGAGGAAAATGTTAAAATAATATATCCTGCTTATTAAAGTATCAGTAATGGTACACTGATAAAGATAAGCATTATTTGTAGCAGGCCTCAAAAACTGGACCCCTCAAGACATCCATGCTCTAATCCCCAGAACATGCGATCAGGTCACTTTACATGGTAAAAGGGACTAGCTGTGCACGGTGGTACATGTCTGTAATCCAAGTACTTGGGGCAGGAAGAGCAACAATACAAAGCTAGCCTGGGAGACATAGTGGGTTTGAGACTAGCCTGGGGTGACATAAGGAAAGTCCTGTCTCAACAACCAAACAGGAGGGTGTGGTAGTATATACCTGCAATCTCAGATTTGAGAGGCAGAAGCGAGAGGATGTCTATGAGTCTGAAGTCAGCCTGATCTACCTAGTAATTTCCAGGCCAGTCAGGGCTACACAGTGGAACACGGTCTCAAAAAAAAAAAAAAAAGCCAACAAACATGGCAAAGGGGAACTGAGGTCGCTAATCTGTGACCCAACTGATTTTAAAATTAGATTTTGGCAGGTCATAGTGGTGCATGCTATAATCCCCAGTATTTGGAAGGCAGGCAGAGACAGAACTGGGAGTTAATGACCTACCTAGGCTACATAGCGTCCAAGGTCGGAGCTGAGCCAGGTGGGTAAGCAGATAAAGTTACTTGTCACCAAGTCTGACAAGCTGAGTTCAATCCCTGGAATCCACAAGATAGAAGAGAACTGACTTCCAAAATTTGTCCTCTGACTTTATATGTGTGCTATGACACAAACATGGCCCCTCCCCCACAATAAATGTAATAAAAAATTTTTTAAAGAATTCAAGGGCAGCCTAGGCTATATGAGACCTATCAAAGATAGTAATAAATAATAAAAATAATAATGATAATAATGGGCTTGGGAGAGGGCTCAATTTGTGAAGTACTAATCATGTATGTACAAGGAGCTGAATTTGGTCTTAGCAACCACATAAAAAGTTAAGCATGGCCAGGCGGTGGTGGCGCACGCCTTTAATCCCAGCACTCGGGAGGCAGAGGCAGGCGGATCTCTGTGAGTTCGAGACCAGCCTGGTCTACAAGAGCTAGTTCCAGGACAGGCTCCAAAACCACAGAGAAACCCTGTCTCGAAAAACCAAAAAGAAAAAAAAAAGTTAAGCATGGTGGTGTGCACTTATCACCCCAGTCCTGGGTGGGTGGTGACAGGAAGAACACAGTAGCTTGCTGGTCAGCCAGCCTAGCCGAATTGGAAAGCACTACAACCACATGAGACACTGTCTCAAAAAACAAGGTGGACAGCTCTTGGAAATGAAACCAAAGGTTTGTCACTGGCTTCCACATGCATATACACATGTACATATGTGTTCCAAGACAAGCGCGCGCGCACACACACACACACACACACACACACACACACAGACAAGAATTCTCTAAGTGGACCCCAAGTCTCTAGAAGTGAACAGAAAGTAAAAAAGATGTTTTGTCTCAAAGAAACTGTAAGTCCCAAGTCCCGGTCTCTGGCCTCCATCTTTGGAGGCCCTGTCCTTGTGCCTGCCAAGCCTTGACCCCTCCCTGGAGGAGTGTCAAGACAGCCTGCCAAAATCTTGACCACTCTTCCAGGCTACTTAAACTGCTTCCCCAGAAGGTCCCCTGGTGGTCTCTCCCCCCCACACCGTGGTCATGTTCACGGTCTCCCGGTCGACCCCCCCCCCCCCCCGTGGCCACCTGCGAGTGCAGGAATCCCATTAAACCTGGATATTTTTAATTTGGCTTGTTGTGATTTGGCTTGATTGGGATTTTTGCATTGGCAGAGAGCTCGCACTAGGAAAAATTCCTAACAGAAACCAAGAAACGGGCTGTGGAAGGCCTCTAGGTACTGGAAAAGAAATGGATTTCCAGAAGTTCCCGTCAACACTTTAATCATAATCTAGGTGACTCATCCTAGATTCTTGACCTTCCAAACTCTAAAATATTATAATATAATAGAATATCCGTGCTGCTCTAAGCCACAAGTTGGTGGGCATTTTCTGTGGCATTCACAGGAGTACATACACTAAAACAATGTTGGGTCCTATCCACACCCTCAATAGCTCCCAGAGATAGGCAGTCTGCTCGAGCACTTGAATAGGAGAGCTGGAATGTGAGATGGAAACATTTATTTTCTGAATGATTGCATGCTTCACTCAAATCCATGAGCAGCTGGAATTCATGAAGCAGGCTGGCTCCTCACACCCGAGGAGGCATAACAAGCTGGCAGAGTACTCACTACGAGCCACTTACTCTGTTGTGACAATATTCTCCTGTTCTCACTGCTCTCCCTCCCAAGAAACATCCTTTTCTTCTGACTCATTCCAAGTTAAAACCCAATGTGGATCCAAAGGGCTTCAAGTATTGTCAAGAGCTGTATGGTTAGCAAAAGAACTCTTTATTAAGAAAAATCATCAATAATAACAAATCAGAAAACACATTTAAATCCCAATACTTAAAACCTTACAGAAATAGTTTTCTAGAACTTCTTGCCAGTAAAGGATTTGGCTCACATAACTATATTCCAGGCAAACCTTAAGGATTTGCCTTTTGTTTACTGGCAAAATAATCCTTGCTGAGTCTTTTCATCACATTCCCATGGCTGATTCCTGCCGTGCCGTTAAACACGGCTCTATAATTCTCCTGCACATATTTGGCAAATGGTCTCACATAGGGCACAATGGGGGTTCCATCCTTGCGAAACAATGGCAGCAAGACCAGATGCCCTTTGCATCTGGCACAGATGAAGCGTTCAGTGTTCAGCGATCTGGTGTAGCGGCCAATCCTGGGGAGAAAGGAGATACCACAGCACAATAACAAATTAATCACGACCCCTCAACAGCAGCTCCAACTCCTCAGCTTTATGCTCAAAGCAATTTTCTGTGAGTTCTGAGGAGCCCCAGGCAGCAGCAGAGTCAGGCCAGCTCAAATTCAGGAAGATAATGGAGAAAGAGAACGAAGAAATAGTGAGCTTGACTCCTTAAATTGGTCCATAGACTTACTAAAGATCGATTTGGTCCTGCCATAGTTCAAGGCTACAAAGCTAGCTCAAGACTAGCATATAGGCCAGGCGGTGATGGTGCATGCCTTTAATCCCAGCACTCGGGAGGCAGAAGCAGGCGGATCTCTGTGAGTTTGAGACCAGCCTGGTCTACAAGAGCTAGTTCCAGGACAGGCTCCAAAACCACAGAGAAACCCTGTCTCGAAAAACCAAAAAAAAAAAAAAAAGAAAGAAAGGAAGGAAGGAAGGAAGGAAAGAAGGAAGAAAAGAGGGCTGGCTGATGATATGGCTCAGGCAGGGGAGCCATGTAGTGTTTGCCTGGCAGCCATGAGTCCCTTAGCTCAATTCCCAGTACCAGAAAAAGAAAACAAACAGCTATTGGAGGCTGGAATAACAAAAGAATTGGGAAAAATCTGAAAAGGCCTTACCTGTATTTGCACAGCATGCATTCATAATAGATCTTGTAGTGAATTGTGTAGTTATGGCAACGGGTGACCTTGGGCAGTTCTGGGTGTACTGAATTGCATTTTTTAGCATAATATTGCCATGAGATACCATGAGAATCCCGGATGCCATCAAGCAGCCAGGAGGCTGCATGGCATAGTTCATGGATCAAGGTGTCCCGGATTTGATCTTGAGAGAGAAATGAAAAGAAACTGTCAGCACTAAAATGAATTTTCTTCTGATCTACTATCCCATAAGCCCTTGACTTTCACCCCTACCAAACACAAGGCTGTCTCACAGAAGCACAGTCGGCTGCAATTGTTGCCTTCCCAGGATCCGGAGAGTCAAATTTCTACCCACATACAAGCTAGTTTTGGTTTTGACTGCTTCTTAAGTGGTCAGGTCTTTGGGGAGCAGCTCCAGCATGTTCATCCTTTTGTGGGACATTGCTCGAAATGTACCTGGACGAGGCTTGCTTTCTTCACGCTTGGGACAAAGGTGGGCTCAGGAGGTATGTATGGCCATGAGATTTGGTGAGCAGAAGTTTGGGGTAAGAGAGAGATCTGAGCTGGGTTCTATTATGAAAAAATTAATTACATTTATTTATTGTGTGTGTGTGTGTGTGCATGCACATACATGCACATGCATGTGGAGACCAGAGGATAACTTGTGGAAGTCAGCTCTTCCCTTTGACTATGTAAGTCCTGGAGAAGAAACTCAGATCAGCAGGCTGGATGGCCCTGAGCCTTCTCACCCCCCTCCCCACACCCGTGAGCTAGACTCTTAACAACTGACTAAATTTAGAATTAGAAAGGCTATTTAAGTCCATACATGACCTTTAACCCTAGCACTTGAGAGGATGAAACAGGTGGATGACCCTGGGTTAGAGATCAGTTAGCATTATATGACAAGATCCTATCTCAAAACAACTTTGCTTTGTTTAAGTATTTTTTCTTACTGATTTTTTTTGTTTCTTTGTTTTGATTTTAGTTTTTTGTTTTCTTGTTTTTTTTTTTTGAGAGAGAGAGAGAGAACACAGGCAAACATACATAAAGGTAGGTGGGAAGAGTTGGGGGAGGGGAAAGAACATGATCAAAATACATTGTATAAAAAATATTTTTTAATTAAAAACAAAAAACCGGCAGCCCACTTCTGTAATCCCAGCACTGAAAGGCTGAGGCAAGAGAACTATACAAGTTCAGGGTCATAGTATGAGGCCAGCCAAGGCTACACTAACCTGTACCCTCACCCTCCCTACCAAAAGGCGGCCATTCAAAGCTGAGTTGGGGGGCAGACACCTGTATGTAGTTCCAGTTACTCAAAAAGCTGAGACAAGAGGTCTGCTTGAGTCCAGGGGTTCAAGACTAGCCTGGACAACATAGCAAGACACCATATCAGAAACAAGACAAAACACTTGATTCTAAAAATCTGTTGTCGCTGCTATTTGATGGCATACTACTTACACGGCATGTGTGAGGCTATAGTCTCCAATATGGTGGGAGCATTCGGGAGAAGTCAAACAAAATGTAAGTAATGATTGGATCTACAAAACCACGAGCTGCATTTTGAGAGCCAATGGGCAAAGAATGGATAAACCATGGGCTAGCAGCGAGCAGTGAGAAGCCAGATAAAACCCGTGAAGCAGGAGAAGACTACCATGGCCTTGAAAACCAGGCTCTGAGCAGGAAAGCAACATAGTAGCACACACACACAAACTGAGGGAACAGAAGGAGGGGATAAGTCACCAGACTTTGACAAATGAAAAACTGTCTGGCTAGAGCGGGCATCTTGACCCTTGGCAATTGAGAGAATGGAGACCTGGCTTTGGCAAAGGAAATGTGCAGATGGGCCTGGAAACTACACTGAATTCCTAGGAAAGGTGAGACATCTAATAATGATGTCCTCTCAGCAACATACAGAAGGCCTACCCACATGGAAATGACAGTTCAAAGCTGTGACACAGGTTGCCGGGGATGAGTAATTTAACAGATCAGAAGGACAGGGTGCTAGGGTAAATCCACCATAGTCCTGGAATCACCTGCAGAGTCGCAGACTTTTGGAGAAATTGAAATCTTAGCATAGCGCTGCCTCTTGGGTTGTTGTATCTCATGGGTAGTGCATAAACCAGCAGTCCGTAGCATCTTTTTATTCCAAATGATTTCTATTTTCTCTGGCAACTGAAAATGAAAAGCAAACAAAAGTATCAGAAAGCAGTTCTAAAGGTTTACTTTTTTTTAAAAATGTATGTGTATGTGTATAAGCCTGAGTTTATATGTACCACATGTGTACCAGAAGAGAGTGTCAGGTCCCCTGGATCTGGAGTTATAGAGCAGTTGCGAGCTTCCAAGTGCATGCTGGGAACCAAACCTGGGTCTGTTGCCAGAGCATTAAGTGCTCTTAACTGCTAAGCTATCTCCCTAGAAACAACTCATATCAGAAAATAAGAACAAGAGTTTTTCTCCCTCTGAGAAAAAGTAAGAGGACATGCCAATGTGGACGAGGGAAATTTCACAAGGCACCACCCCTAGATGAAACGCCACAGGTAATAACTGCCCTGCAGAAATAATCAGTTTTCCAGTGATGAACTCTTATCGGCTATACAATCCCAAGAGCTCTGCTCTAAACACATAGGAGCAACACTAAATGGACTCAGTAGGTTTTACACATAGCCGGGCAGTGGTGGCGCACGCCTTTAATCCCAGCACTTGGGAGGCAGAGGCAGGCGGATCTCTGTGAGTTCGAGACCAGCCTGGTCTACAAGAGCTAGTTCCAGGACAGGCTCCAAAACCACAGAGAAACCCTGTCTCGAAAAACCAAAAAGAAAAAGAAAAAAAAAAGGTTTTACACATACTACACACACACAAAGAGGTCATTAATTTGAGAGGTGGAGATATAGGAAGAACAGGGGTGGTAGAAATGACACAAAGATAGTAGTCACATATGAAATTCTCAAAAAATAAAAACAAAGTAAGAGGAACTGTCTCCTACATTCTTGAGTTGCTGAAGAGAAATTTATGCAAATAAAAAACAAATCTAAACATTGAAGTCCTGGGAATGACAATTAATAGGTTAATCAGGACACAAGGAAGGAGATTTTTAAGGCTACAGGACCTTCAGGATATAAGAATTCCCTCCACAAAGCCTCTTCAGCAGAAGACTGTAACACTGGATTAAACAACAACAAACGATCTACCGGTGATGGTACAGCTCAGGGGTAGGGTGCTTTCCTCACATGCAGGAAGCATGGTAAGAAATAAAAGAGCCCAAAACAAACAAGCAAAACAAGTGGCCAGAAGGTCCCTACCTCTGCATTTTCTAATCCAGTCCATACCACCAAGCTATTGGCAGATGGATTCAGCAGTAGCTTCCCGTCACACATTCCTGTGCACTGGTTCCTACCAATTTAAATTTAACTTTTCCTAACCTACTTGCCAAGGCCATCGAAGACAAGACAACAAGAGCTTGCTGTACCTAGGCCCTGTTCTAAGCACTTTATGATTATGGAAATATTGCAGTCTAATAGTAACTCTGAGGTAGTAAGTAGAATGGGCCTGAGTTCTGTACCATGGATTCAACAAACTGCAGATCAAAAATGACTACAATTTATTACATAAATGTACAAAACTGTCAGATAATAAAAAATGACAAAAACATGCATCTGCTAGAAATATACACAGAGGATGAGCAGAGGACATTTTATATAAGAGATTTGAGCACCTGTAGATTTTGCCATTTGTTGAGGGGTACCAGAACCCGTTCCCTGCAGGCACAGAAAGATGACTGCACTATTATTGGCCTCATTTTACAAGAGACATGGGTAAAAGGAGGCTAAGCAACTCATCCAGCTCCTTCTCATCATCTTCTTTACCTTATCACATGTCCTTTCCCTGCTGCCGTTCTCAGTACAAACCATTTTTTAAGGAGCAGGAGCCTCATGTCTTTCAGGAAATCCTATTTTCTGACTTCTCAGACTTTTCAGTCATTCTCCCTGTGCTAATCTCCTACTGTAATAGCCATCTGCTCATATATACAACCAAAACAAGTTCTCTTTCACACAAGCATTCTCTCTCATGTTTGCTAAGTCCAAAGTGCCCCCCCCAAATACAGCTGCGCTGGTGACCATGTCCTAAACAGAAGGACTAACTGGGTAAACAGACGATTATTGGGTAAGGGCATCTAGTTCCTGATTAATCTGAACAGCCTATATCAGCACAAAGACCCCTACCTGCTGACTATCATAAAATCTGCTTGCTTTCCCACTGTTTTGCTTCTCTCTGCCCCTCTGAGAGAGAGCCTTGGCAGTTTGGACCCCAATAAGTCTTTCTTTTCTACCCATGGAGTGGTCCAGGTCTACTCAAACTAGCACAGCTCCAAGACATGAAGCAGACATGGTTAGTACAGCAGCCAAGCATGCTGGTGTACAAGAGGTATTCAATAGAAACTTATTCGTTGTTTCTACCTTTCCATCAAAGACAGTGTGGTTAAGTAGTGCGTAGATTTTCTGAGCCAGTTCTTCCTTATTGTGCTTGAAATTCCTTCCAGAATACTCTTTTAACTTCTCAATGTTATTCAAGAAACATCCAGGAATTTTGCACATACGTTTCCTACAAAGGTAAATTCAAGTGAATTTTTCATGGCTAAAGAAATAGGAGAAGACATGCATAAAGGTCTAAAAACTTGCTGTTCTTTCCTTCCGGCTCATCATATATTAACATTTATTTCCCAGGCTCCATTCAGTGTTTCTCTTTACTCTTGGCACACATTCTCAAACGTTATGAGGCCAGGTTTCAACCTCAAAACTGATAACTACACCTACAGCTTCAGTCTCTGATGTTTCTGATTTTTCATTTATTCAATGTAAATTCCCAACACATTTATGAGTCTATCTTTAGCCTAAGAGGCTCCATAATGAAAATTCTGTCACAACTGACAGAAAACCTTGGAGGCATTTTGAATGCATTTTCCCTTACCCTGTGTTCAACTGGGATGTGAACTGCTATCTTCTGACTGTGGGCTCTCCCGGACAGCATCTGCTTTGCAACTCAGGTTCACCTCTCTCATCAAGACCTGCCTTCCCCTTCATAGAACAGCACTCTCTAACTACCAGGCTCTTTTCATTCTAACCCAGTACCCACTCACCTCCAGATTCATTTTGTTTCCTTCTGGCTTTTCCTTGACCAGCTGGCCTGGTATTCAAGGCCTGAGTCAATGTGATTCTAGCCACTGTTTCCAGCTACCACTTCTACTCTGCTCAAAGTGGGCAGCTCAAACATTCCCTGGAGTGAATGGTGATTTCCCATTGTGCTGCGGCATCAACTCTTTCCCGTGATACAGAGTGACCCATCTCTGCCTTTCCTGAGAACCACCAGTGGCATTTTAGTATTTGCAAAGAACCTCTCTTTGCATCATATCATTGTTTGTTCCCATCTCTATCTTGCAAATGAGGATACTAAAGCTCAGGTGTCTGACCCAAAAGTCAGAGACAATGGATCTTCTGACCCAAATCCTCAATCTTTCCATTAAACCATGATTGGGCCAATGCTCAGTTGCTACTGATGTAAATAGAAGTGGGTTTTTTTAAATTTGCTTTTTAGTGTTTGGTTTGTTTGGGTTTTTTTCTTTCTTTCTTTTTTTCTTTGGTTTTTCGAGCCTGTCCTGGAACTAGCTCTTGTAGACCAGGCTGATCTCAAACTCACAGAGATCCGCCTGCTTCTGCCTCCCAAGTGCTGGGTGCTGGGATTAAAGGCGTGCACCACCACCGCCCAGCTTTTTTTTTTTTTTGGTTTTTTGAGACAGGGTTTCTCTGTAGTTTTGGAGCCTGTCCTGGAACTAGCTCTTGTAGACCAGGCTGGTCTCGAACTCAGAGATCCACCTGCCTCTGCATGTGCCACCACCGCCTGGCTTTTTAAAAATTTATTTTACATCGCGACTGAAGTTTCCCCTCCCTCTTCTCCTCTGCCCCAATCCACTTCTCCTCTATTTATGTTCAGAAAGGGGCAGGACTCCCATGGGTATCAACAAATCATGGCATATCAAGGTAAGGTAAGACTAAGCACCTTCCCTTGTATGAAGTATGAAGAACAGGTTCCCAAGAGCTGGCCAAAGTGTTAGGGACAGGTCCTGCTCCCATTGTTAGGAGTCCCAGAAGTAGAGCAAGCTACACTGCTGTGGAATATGCCTTTACACTGTGTGAATATATGTCACTGTGATTGATTTAATAAGGAAGCTGACTGGCCAATAGCTGGGCAGAAAGAGATTGGGCTAGAGAGCCAGACTAGGAGACTGCTGGGAGGAAGAAGGGGAGAGCCTGGAGTCTTCAGCAGAGAAAAAGAGAAACAACATGAGCATGCCATACTGAGAAAAGGTACCAAGCCATGTGGCAGAGCGGAGATGAGAAATACAGGTTAATTTAAATGTTAAGAGTTAGCTGGTAACAACTCTGAGCTATTGGCCAAGTGTTTCCAACTAATATTGAGTCTCTGCATTTGGGAAACAGCTATGAGACAGGAAACTCCATCTATACTACACAACTGTAACATATATGTAGAGTACTTAGGTCAGTCCCATACAGGCTTCCTGGTTGTCAGTTCAGATTCTGTGAGTCCCTATGAGCCCAGGTAAGTTGTTTTTGTGAGTTTTCTTGTGATGTCCTTGACCCCTCTGGTGTCTACAACCCTTCCTCCCTCTGGAAGTGTTTTTTTTGTTTTGTTTTGGTTTGGTTTGGTTTGGTTTGGTTTTTGTTTTTTTTTTCTTTTTTTTAGGAGATAGGCTCTTGTCACATAGGCAAGGCTGGTCCCAAACTCGTGGGAATCATTCTGCCTTTTCCTTCCAATTGCTAGTATTTACCATATGTGCCATTATACCTGGAGGAGGCTTTTAAAAAATTATGGCTAGAACAAACCACAACCAGATAGAGAAGCCCACAGAGCTAGAAAAATGAACTGCCAACACAGTGAGTTTGGCTTCACAAGCTCACATTTTTGCTTTAACACTAGATATGTATCAGCAAAGGCAGATGACAACCACTACCATCTGTCAGATGCAGCAGAGAATGGGACCTCCGTGTCTACGCAGAGAAAGCTAGCCTTTAGACTTATTAGCAAACTTTTCCTCAAAGTTTGTGCACCCCACATCCAAACTAACAACAAGCAGCCTAGACAAGAGCTATGGGCAGCAGTGCAGGAGGCTCTCAGAGAGATGGAGTACAGTAAGATAGTGGTAAAAATTCAAACAGGCTAATCACCTTCAGATAGGGTAGTGACAGGACACCAAGAGGCAGCTTCTCCTTTCTTCTGTCATTCTCTAGCAAAGCAACCTGGCTATTATCAAAACAAGCATCCCTACAGACAAAGCAGCTTAAACGCATACATAGAAACTGAGTGTGGTGATGCATGCATGCCTTTAATCCCAGCACTTGGGAAGCAGAGGCAGGCAGACTTCTGTGAGTTCCGGATCAGCCTGGTCTACAGTTACAGGACAAGTTCCAAAACTACAGAGAAACCCTGTCTCAAATGCTCCCCCCTCCCCCGCAAAAGAAAAGCATATAGAATCCAGAGATGAAGCCTTGTTGATAGGGGATCCAAGAGCACACGGTAAACTGTCTCAATCATCTCAGCCACCCAAAAGCACAGGGACACAGTCTTTTTTCTCAGATCTAAACTGACCTCCCCTACCCAATGCCTGGCATACCTTTTCCCCTTCCCCTCCCTGAAGACAATTTTTCTCCCAAAATATAAGCTTAAGAGTATCACCAAGCTGAAGTAGCCAGTTCATCCCCAAGCACCACAAAACAAAAAACCCACAAAAAATCAAAATGCTTACACACACACACACACACACACACACACACACACACACACAGATGCTTCTTCAGATATACTTTCTCTCTTTTTTCTTTTTTCTTTTCCACCAAGACAGGGTTTCTGTGTGTGGCTCTGGCTGACCTGGAACTCTCTATAGACCAGGCTGGCCTTGAACTCAGAGATCTGCGTTCCTTCTCTTAAAAATAATTCAGCTGTAGCCAGGCAGTGGTGGTGCACACCTTTAATCCCAGCACTCAGGAGGCTGAGACAGGCAGACCTATGAGTTTGAGGCCAGCCTGGCCCACAGAGTGAGTTCCAGGACAGCCAGAGCTACACAAAGAAACCCTGTCTTGAAAAACAAAAACAAAAGATAATTTAGATATAAGTGTGCATTACCCCTGAATGGAAGTAAAGCAGGAGATAAAAATTGAAATCATATTTTGAGGGGGAAAGTGAGATTTTAAGAATCGAAATGAGAAAATGTAACAACTTCTAGCTTAAGTATTAACATGTCTTTGACTCATACAATCACTTGTTTTTAAGGGCTTCCTGTGACTCTTAAAGAACTCCAAATAAG